TGAGGGGAGGGGGGGGGGGGGGAGGGGTATTTCCAAAGACTGAGGTCTTTCAAAATGACCTTTTGAAATTTTTCTGTGTTCTGTGAAGGCATTAGGGAGAAGGTAAGAAGGTTAGTTTCCAAGCTGAGAGCTGAGAATGTCTGTCCAACCATTCCACTGAGCCCCTTTGAAATTCTGGCGCTTTTGTGCCTGAGCAGAATGTAGGCACTCTAACAAATCTGATGATTAGTGCAAGTGTGATGCTTGAGATGTTTTAGCTTGTACAGAACAGATCTTGCCCACTCGACTGAGGTCTTTCAAAATGACCTTTTGAAATTTTTCTGTGAAGTTTTTGAGCATTAGGGAGAAGGTAAGAAGGTTAGTTTCCAAGCTGAGAGCACGAAATGTCTGTCCAACCATTCCACTGAGCCCCTTTGAAATTCTGGCGCTTTTGTGCCTGAGCAGAATGTAGGCACTCTAACAAATCTGATGATTAGTGCAAGTGTGATGCTTGAGATGTTTTAGCTTGTACAGAACAGATCTTGCCCACTCCTAAACCCCAGCTGCTTAATGTAGAGTGCAGCACACAGACGACCACTGTGAAACTTCATTTGCTGTTGCCTCTCTTTAAAGCTGTGCCAGCAACCGTCCAGCATGATTGTTTCACTGAAAATATACAGAGCTCTTCATGGTCTTATTAAACATCCTCTTCACAATCTCAAAGCATGACATTAATCCTTAGTTGTGTTGTAATACGCCTTGGTTAACAAATGTGTCACAGTTTTATTCCAACAACAAGCATGATTTCTGGAATTTTGGGGCCCTGTTCAGTCTTTTATGGTTGGTGGAGGGAATCTTGTTTTAATTTCAGTGGGTTCTGGCTCTAGTGGACCTGCTGTCCTCTGTAACTGCTGAATCCTTAGGATAGTAGTGGAATTTTTGGCATTTGCTGCTCTCTCTGCAGCAAGGCTTTTCTTGAAAGTCTGATACTTCATGCTGCATTTCAAGAGGGAGAAATTAGAACACAGCACAGGAAACGGTATTAGTAACAAATTGAATCTGCATGAGGTACAGGGAGAGAGTTCAAAAATGTAAGTTCTGATACAGTTATGTGTTGCTTCTTTAATGCAGGCTTGCTCTGGTGGAAGAGCAGTGCCTATGTTTGCATAAATGTCACACATCTGCAGAGATCAAATGCTGGATGAGAAAGAAATATTTGTGTCTGTAGAAGTGCTTGTAAGGTAATCGGTTACAAGGAGTCAAGCACAATAGGGGTATCCATCTATTGCTTCAGTTCCACAGCACTCAGATTGTTGGTGTACCTGAAAGTTTCCAAAGTAGTATTCTCCCCTCTTTAATTTAAAGTAAAAACATGTATGCATTAATGCTAGGAAATCTATTCTTTAGAAGTTTAGTTAGTAGAGGGGTATAAGTTGCAAAGGCAATTCTAGGAGGTTAATGAAGTATGCCCCATTCCATCTTGTTGGTGTAGAAGCTACCTCTGTGCTGCCCGGGTGCTGAGAAAACAAGTGTATTTTTGTGAGACTATAACTACGGTTTGCTATGATATCCATACTTCGTGAAGATATTCTGAAGTTATTTCTACTGAATAGACAGGCCATTTCTGACAAAAATGTTGTGTTTTTTTTTGACATTCAGACTTCAGTTTTAATGCAAAACCTGGTAAACAAAGGACAGATTCAGTGAATCTGACTGGCAGTGCTTGCACAAAAAGGATAACTTGCTTAACTTCTTGTTGGCGAAGATGATGGAGAATCTTTGTAATGATCAATGGAAAAGAGAAAAATAACAATCAGAACAAGTGCTGTAGGGTATAAAGTTGAATGCCCGACTTGTTTTTAATATGTGGCAGAATGGTTTAAAAGATCTGATTCCCTACAAAATACTTACCAGATAGTAACACTTTGCCCATTTCTGCACATCCTTTTCTTTGCTAAAAGGCAGAGGTGGAAGTTTCTCTCCTTCAGGTTCTCAAAATGCCAAAGGGACTGGGGTAAGATTTGAGGTTAATTGAGGCCGCTTTCTGTACTGAAGGAGGGCTGCTGCTTTTGGGAAGTGACTGCGGTGGCTTTCAGGTGGCAGACAGTAAGCTAGCTAGTTGGGTTGGTACCGGACATTTCAGCAGTTGTTGGTGACTGAAGGCATACTACCAATGAGATTAACGGTTAACTTGCCCCGAGATGCTCTAACAGGGAAGGGGAGAAAGAGAAACTCCTTGTTCTAATAGTTTTTCTTCAGGTTTGGTACAAAATGGAAAGAGTTCTAGCTAGCCACATGAAAAACAGGCAAAACAGCTGGTTTTTTCTCTTTTTCTAGAACACAGCCTTGAAATAGTTAACAAGTTACATCAGGAGCAATTCATTTGGTTCAACCTATATTTAGTTTACTGGAAGAACCTTTAGGTTGTGAAATGTACGCTGTGTGTTCTTGTCCCTGTGCTAGAATGAAATATTTAAAAGAGGAAATGTTTTCAGTAATATTCCAGGAATCTTTGAATAGACACTGTTCCTATCAGCGTGAATGGTTAAAATTCGAGCTTTTGGTCCCTTGAAAACAAACATGTTTCTGCTTTGATTCAAATTCTGCTCTGCCAGCGTAAAGGAGTTAAAACCACAACCTAATGCCACAGTAAAATACGTATCTATAGGGGAATCCCCAGATGGCACAGAGCTGCCAGAGCTGCTTCTACAGAGGGTCCTCTTCTCTGCTAACAGCACACACAGTGCCTCCTGCAGCGGGCTTGGAAAAGCAGTTTTTCCTTCCAGGTTTAGAGAGAAAGTGGGGAAGTTAGTCCGCACAGCCGTTGTTTCTCTGGTGGGCTTGAGCAGAGAGAATATTGGCAAGCTGTAAAATCCATCTGGGATGGCCCCATTCCAGAGCTGAATTGTCCAGAATTGATGCGTGGTTTTGCCCTTTCTCAAGTTGGTTACAAAAACTTCCAGGCCGAATGCTGCCTTAGGTTACATACGACTTTCGCTTTTGCATCACTGGAAACGATTGGCAAGACTATCGCTTCAAATGTCCTCACCGAGATTAGGGACTTACAGTAATAAATAGTGTTAAGATTGAGAATAAAACCAGTGAGTATGTCATAGAATCTGCTAGCGATATTCTTCTTACCAGATGTGCATAAAAAATGTTGCACCCCTCTGCTTCACGCACAACCCGTCCCCGTCTTCAGATCTTCAGAGCCACTGTCTCTTTAGACTGTAACTTCTTTTGCGTGATACAGCTTTCATCTGCAGGAAAGTGCTGTTTTACTACATTAGATACTATATCTGTAGAATTAGATACTTACAGTGTCTACTGTAAGTATTACAGCATTATTAGGAGTTGCCTAGCCTTAACCAAAATAAGAAATAATAAGTACTAATTTTCATGCTAGTCTTACAAAGTTTTGCCTTTAAAAGGGCTTCAGAATTAAGTAACAAAGAATTGAAGGTAGATTGAAAGTTAATATACATTGAAAAGGGGAACGCAGAGATAGATAAAAACTTTACTGGTAGTTCATTAGTCGTTCTTTAACATGCTTTACTGTTTGGAGAGTAAAAGAACAAGAGCACATCTCTATTAGGAAGAAGAAAACAGTTCAGTAATTACAGATTTTGTTGAAAAGAAAGGAGGGAATGCAAAGGAATGCACTAGAACTAGTCAAGAGATGCCGAGCAGCACAGGACAGCTTTTTCAAAAGGAAGCATTCTTATTAATGCAATGTTTCGTTGTGTATTTATGAAAGAGCAAACTTAAGCATCTTATAGGAGAGTACTCTCCCTGTAGCATGAAACCTCTTTATTAACGAGGCTCAGGACTCTTCAGTGTTGCCAATTGTTCATGATTTTCATAGCATTTTTTTGTATGCTCTACTACTTATTTTTTTCTTCTTGTGTATGTGCGTTACTGCATTTGCTTTGTTTTACAGTTGTACAAGTTTGGAGAGGCAGTTTCTGTAGTTTTCTGGACAGATACATGGAAGCCAGAGAGCTTTTTTGACAAGATCGAGAAGAACAGGCAGAACGGAATGCACACACTGTGCTTACTTGGTAAGCAGTGGCTACCCCGGTTCCTTAGCTACCATCTTCCGCGGTGTCCAGAAACAATAGCGATAGGCATGAGATGAAGTCTGTGATTAAACACATGTTCTTAGCTAACGTATGTCTTTGCAAATATACCAAAAATTGGAACGTCAGTGTATGTGTACTTAGAGTCAGTTCAGCCGTTGTTCATGCTACAGCGGCCAGGAATTTCTTAATTCCTCTTCAGAAAATCCGTAAGAAAGTATGCCTTTGTAGAAGTCAAATAGGAGCAGGAGGCCCATATTTGCTCTAAAGATTGGTATGATTTTAAGGTAGATCAAGCTCAGGATCCAAATCAGATTGGAGTGACTAGCAGCTCTCTTTTATTGACTTAATTAGGTTAGAGCTCAACACGTTCAACTTTCTGGGGAGCTAAATCATACATTTAACCACATTTCTGGTGTGTAAGGTGATAGTCCCTTTCCTAAATTATCTCATCTAAGAGTGTTTTGGCAAAAGGTGATTGTCACATGAGAAGCTGCAGTGCTGTAAAAAATCCTTGCTGACCATGGAGCTGAAACGGAATACTGCTCCCAGTGTCCCCAGGCTCTCCCATGGTGCTGCCTGAGCTTTATCCTACCCAACAATTCTCGGCTGAAAGCCACTTTCTGAGTAACTCCCTAAAGATTATGGAACTGCCTGCATATAAACTATAAGGCACTTGCATATTTGTATATATAATTATATACCTTTCCGTATCATCTTTCAGACACAGCTGGGATCTCTCAGTGCTAAATAAATTAATATTTTAAGTAAAAACAAATTCTGTGGTAACTGGAGGAATCCTGAGCAGGAAACAATTTAAATGTGTAAGCATCACTGCACTTCAAACTTTCCAATGCCTTGAAAGTTGTTTGTTTTCAAAATTGGCTAAAAATCAGAACTGTGGTGATTTGTTTTAAAGAAGGATTTCACAAGTGTTTTGAACAAGGATTATTACAACTATATGTCAAAACAAAGTATTCTTTAGCTATTTTGTAAAATCATTTTTACGATCTCCCTTTTTATGTTTAATTGTTTTATGCTGTAGTGAGAAAGTAAAAATTTTGAAACAGTAGAATTGAATTGTAAATCTCATGTTTCAGGGACAGTTGTGGTACCTGCATCTAATTGTAGCTCACAGCTGAAAACAACCAATTTCCAAATCAATTGTTCCCTTAATACTACTTGGTCATTCTGGTCTATGTATTCATTGTTTATCCAGCTAGACTAGATTACCAGATAAGCAAATGTGACATAAAAAGATTAGTGCTGATAAACTTCTGAAGTCAAAGTGACTTCACGGACATAGAAGCAATTTGGTAAACGGTGCACTAATAGTCTTGCGACTTTGCATTTTAAACCCCTTTCTTCAGAGTCACTTTGGTTTAGGAGTTGACTGTATAACTTAAGCAATATGCTTTTAAAAATCAAGATTAAAAATGTATCCAGCTTTCACTATGATAATATTTTGGGGGCATTTGAATACAGATAACGTTCGATTGCCTCTTGGAGAGATTGTGGTCAATCAAGAGTTTCATAACATTGCAGATGGGCAGACTCTTACCTGACCCCTTCTCTATTTCATTTTTGCCCAAATCCTTTTTTTTTTCCCCATAACAGAAGATTGTTCTAAATTTTGATTGGGACAGGAAGGAAGCGCTAACGAAAGTCACGTTCCTGCATGGCAGTGATGTAATCACTGTCGATCAGTCATGCTGTTTTACCTTTTGTGACCACAATGTACTCGTAATGTAATAGTCCCAGTACCCTGGTGTGCTTAAACACGCTGGCATGTAAATGGTATGGTAAATATGCCTGCTATTTGTATATTTAGCAGTATTTTTATTCATCTATGTTGCTCTGAAATCTGTGAAACTTGCCCTATCTTTGGGTAAAATCACATGCCTAAAATCACAATACCTTGTGATTAATTAACATATGAAACAGTAGAATGTAATCCATATCCCTTTTTCCTGTAATAGCTAAAATGTTGTTATAAAGTTTATAGAAGCTGCTAATTAAATCAAGCTTTACCTACACAGAAAACTAAGTGGGAAGTTTGTAGGGAACCTGCATTTTAACACCTGTTTTGTTCTACAGATATTAAAGTGAAGGAGCAGTCTCTGGAGAATCTCATGAAGTGAGTCACCATTTTGAAACTATCTAGAAACACACAATGTATTTACAACGGGTTTTTCTGTACAGGGAACAAAGGTTCTTTGCCCGTGGTCTAATACTGAACTTACCTGCCTTCTCCTCTTGTACTTCGCAGCGGGCACAGTCTTTTGTTTTGTACAAGGAGTGGAACTTTTTTGTTCATTACAATAGGACCTGGCTTTATTTACAGTAACTGAATGAAGTTGCAGCAGAGCATAGTCTTTTTTTTAACTGTTTCTGTGAGAAGCATTAAGTCCGAATGGGGTAAGCTTTCCGCTTGGCAAATGAAGTGTTATTTTACTACTCTTCTGTCCCATCCTGAAATAGATTAATAGCTGAAACAGCGTTCTGAATTCATTCTTCCTTACACTGGCTAGAAACAGTGTGAGGCACTGAATACGTACCGCCCTTTTTAAACAGCTAAATTAGCAATATATAGAAAATGCTCTTAAGTTCATTTAACTGTATTCAGAAGAGCTCTTGCCACATCTTAATCACCTCTCTGCAATCTGTATGTTTTGACAGTGGCGAATATAAATGGTTACTTTATACGCATGCTGTAACTCTGGTCTAAACTAACATTTGTGAAGTCTCACAGTATCATTGAGGTTTGTTTATTCTGGAGTTGCAAAATAAAATCTGTTTGACTGAATCCACAGTTGGCAAAGAAAGCAGCATTTCATTTAAGAATATATTTCTAGTCTGTAATCATCTGTCTACAGGGCATTTGACAGAAAAACAGTAGTTTGCCCTTGAATTTAAGTCTAATGCATCTTTCAGGAGTAGCTGCAAAACCTGCATATTGCTTCCAGCAGCTCAGTTTGCTTTTAGGACTCAAATGATCTGCCAGCTGGAGGGAGGCCCTGCTGTTTCACAGGTGTGGTGAGAGCACAAGAGACTTCTGTCTGCCTTAAAAATTCCACTCTTGTCTAAAAGGCCCAGCCCGAGAGCCAGGGCCTGTTTAAGTTCCATTTGCTGGTCTAGAGGTTTCTTGAAATAAACTGTAAGAACGCTAGGGATAATGAAATGGGTCGTATGTGAAATTTCTCTGCTTTTCTTTCCCTGCAGAGGAAGAAAGATTTATGAGCCACCACGCTACATGAGTGTGAATCAAGCTGCAGAACAGCTTCTTGCCATTATTCAAAACAGGAGGCTCCAAGGAGAAGAACCAGGTACTATTCCAGCGATGTTTCTATCTGCTACTACCCCTCTCAGGTCACGGTTACTGATGAGCCTCTGAACTCTACGCCCTCCCTCTTAATCTTAGCATTCTCTTGCTCTGCAGTGGAATTGGGCGGCCTTAAATCCTAGTCATGAGGTGGATTTGGCAGAGCTTGAACGTAGCGTAGTTCAGCGAGCACAGCTGAACGAGCACTAGTGGCTCCTGGAGGTTTAGTCAGAGGCCCAGTTTGGTAACCCTGTACTGTTTCTATCCGTCTTTAACTGTGAGCTCTTTGATCCATTAGAGTTGCAGGAGGTAGAAGGATTCTGAGCATTTTAGATCAGCCGAGCTTCAAAAAATCTCTGCTACATTTTATTCAGACTGGTCACACTCTGCTCTACATGAATACCAGCGTGAATCTAGGTTAACTCAACGATGGAGAACTGTGATTTTGACCTTGAATTCTTAACGCTAGTCAAGAGCAAACTGTGAAAGATGTTTATTGAGACCGAGGGTGAAATGACAGCAGCTATAGAGATGTCACAGAAAAATGCTTTCTAATAGAAATTCATCTAGCTATAGTCCTCCTTTTAAAAGTTTATTCCTTAAATACTGTTAAAATGAAAATCCTTTCATTTTATCCTTTATATAGAATGAATCAGAAGCAGCAGTCTCCTCAAAGCAAACACAATTCCTGAATGAACTTCGTGTTCTACTTCTGCTGCCTTCCCATTCTTGCTTATAAACATCCCTAAGATACAGCTTTATTTTCTTCGAAGAACAAGCTTCTTTCTAGGCCACTCCAATGATTAATTGGAGTTTTAAGAAAGCAGTGTTAAAAGTTTAAGCATTTTGAGTACTTTTTCCTTTATGATAGGACCATTAGTCAACAAATTAAGCATTTAATCTTCTTTCTTACAGCAATTACTGAAAACGCAATTTGTGTTGGCCTCGCTCGTGTGGGTGCTCCAGATCAGAAGATTGTTTCAGGCACACTGTATCAGATGTCCACAGTGGAATTAGGCGGTCCGCTACACTCTTTGATTGTTACAGGCACTATGCATCCTCTGGAATTAGAAATGCTTAAGCTTTTTTCTGTAGATAGTTCCAGTTTTGAAAATAATGCATTTCAAAGGACCACTTAAATAAAAATGAGGCATTTAAATGTTCGTGCCATCTTTCATTTCATGACAGCGTAAAGCTGTTCCTGTGAATATCAAGAGCTTGCCTAAGTGCAGTTAGATGGTACGTGACTTCAAAAGACAACACCGTAGGAACACGGACCTGCTTTTACCTGAGGCTACAAAGCGCAAGCGGCACTTGCTGGTATCAGCTTCTAACACGCAGACACCTCCAGAAACCTTTAAACCTTAAAAACCCTTCGTCTGATTCAGTTCATTGACACCTACAGCAGTGTTAGGTTGATGACTAGGATAAGAAGTTATCCTGGTTTCGGCAGGACTTGAGGTTAAACCACGACAAAGTGCAAGTAGGGAACTGAAGCAGCGTACCAGATTATCTGTCTGGCATCGCTTTTGCTGTAGTACATTAACCAAGTCGACTGCATATGGTGTTATAAGTGCATTTTAGATGTTAAATTTTGCTTTTCAGCTTTCCAGAAACTTAGTAGTTCTCTCGCCAGTAGAAACCATCAGTGTGCAAAACCTGTTAGGTCTGTATCCACCTTTACGCTTGGGAGAGTGAACACAGACAGGTGAGAATGTTCTTTATGTCTAAACCAAGAAAAACAAGAACTCGCCCTCCGGACAGCTGGTGAAACAGAGGGAGAAGCTGCACGGAATTTCTTTCAGAAGGTTGCAACTTAAAATAGAACTGGATTTCTTCATAGGTTAATGCTAGCATTTATGAAGTGCTGGCCTCAAACTGCAGCAACCACAATTAACCTCAAGCCAATTTTCAGAAAGCAGACTGCAAGAATTCTCTTTAAAATCAGCTAATGGATGATGGCGGTTGCTATTTCAACTAGTCTTCGCAGTGTGTATGACAACAAAGCAGACTTCTTTGCGTATTTTTTTTTAAACTGAAGATTTATTGGAAAGACATTTGATCCCATATCTTTTCAGCAATATAGGATAGTTAACATTTTATAGAGATTGTATTCAAGTAGAAAAGATTACATTAAAAATTTCTAATATTGCACTTGGGACAAGTCATGGCTAAGCTACTAACATTAGCATTCCAGAACAAAATCATACATAGTCTTCAGAATTTGAGTGAGCTGCCTTGTGTTATCATTAAGATTTCTTTACAGGTATTTTGATATACTGTATTATTCAACTTCAGCTCACTGCTAAGAGTAATTCCTGTAATTTAAAGGTAAAGGCAAGCAATATGCTGAATGCAAGCAATATGCTGTATGCTACCAGGAATGATTTTGGCGATTTCTTCATTCACTATATTTCACACTTCAGCCAAAATACCGTAGCGATTCATTTAACTCTTGTACAAGATCCCAGCATACACATGAAAGACTTCAATGCACGTGGGAAGTGAAATACACAACTCCTTTTACACATTATTTCCGCCAAATTACCACATAGGCAGGAACCTTTTGTGGCTCGCTGAAACAGACAAGCAGATTAACCAGCATTTGCACAGTGAGACATGCAGTCTTCACGCGCCAGGCACAGCAGAGGCATAACTGGCATCTTTTCACATTATAGCAGTCTCTGGCCAATGAGGTCCCAACAGGGATGGTCACCGCAACAAAGCCTTAACGGGGGAGAAATCCAAAAGGGAATCCCGGCAAGTTGCTGACAGGGATTTTCACAGGAGTCTAAAGGAGGAATTAACCACTGAGTCAGTATTAGGGATCAGAGAAATGGATTATTAAAAAAAAAAAAAAAGGGAAGAAAATCCCTCTATACTCATTCCCAAACATGCTTAAAAGGGGTGGGATAATCAAGAATCACAGCAAGTGGCAGTCTGATGGCTGCTGGGGAAGACAGGACAGGGCTTAATTAGTGACTAAAGCTGTTGCTCTGAACTGGTATTTAAAGATCCCGTTACGGGAATATTGGTTAGGATTTGCATTTTATAGAAGCATGGAGGTTTCTGCAGCTGAAATCTGCACTGTGAGAGAAAAGCCATGAACTTCACAATTTGATTGCACAGTGGGTGCAAAGGGTGGAAAACTGCAGTTCAGCAGCAGCTTCTCTCCCCTCTTGTATCTTGTTTACATTCCCAAAACAGGTTCACTTACAACAGTTAGAGAGAGACACCCTTTCTTTCCTTCACCTTTAAACCTGGCTTTTCTTCTTCAGAAAAAAAAAAAAAAATCAGAATGCTAAGCGTCACTAAGGTCCATTTTATTAGTAGCAGCAGTTTCAATTTTTACGTAAAAATAGCATCAGCAGCTCTTACTAACGATGCAATTAAACTTTCGTTTTAGTAAGCAGTATTACATAAAAAGCAGAGTCATTTATTTGCACCAGCACTTTTTGCCTTAGTTTAGCAAATCACACAAGTAACCTCGCGCTCTGCAGGGGCCCTATTGATGTAAGGAACAGGTCCATCCACATGTACAGACTTAGAGGGTTAGCCTACGAAGGACCGGTCTTCACTGTACATACTCTTAAGGAGTAAGTCGTTTTCTTCCACTGTTATTTACCGTGATAAAACATTTGGGGCATTTTAACACAGACGCTCCGTAGCACTTGTTTTATCTTATTTTGCTGTAGGTTCTGTAAAAAATCACGCAGTTTGCAGGCTTGGTCTTTGGGACAATACGCTTGTAAGTTACAGTTTTCAGTCGCAGAAAAAAAAAACCCCACAAAGACAGACCGGTAACCCCGCAGTAAGCTTCAGCTGCATGAAAACATGAGAAAAATCATACTTGGAAAACTCGGTTCAAAATTCAGTACTGGATGCCAGGAAGCCGAGTTTTAGCAGATGATCTGCAGACATTCATCCATCTCTGGATGTCAGTCATTCACACAAGTCTCTGTTTAAACGATGCGATGCATCTCCAAAAAAGTGTTAAAAAGCAAACTGTTATATAATCAGCTAAGCGTCAGGTAATTAGCAAAACACCAAATAACGGAGCTTTGACTCTCAGGAGAAGAGAAGCTGCACTTTCAATTGCATGATTTGTACTCTCCTAAAACCTGAGCAAGTATCCCCTTCGCAGGTGAAAAAAAATAAATCGGATGTCACTGTTTAACTGACATACTGGATGTGATTGGAGTTACCTACTGGACACGGAATCTACTGTCTTTTGTAGAATTTTGTGATGCTTATCCTTTTTCAGAAAGCCTAAAAAGGCTTAAAGTCTACTTTGAATCTGACTTCTCTACTATCCTCAATTATATTTAACAAACAAATGATACATTTCTTACTGTAAAAACATCAAGTTGTCCTTAAAAATAATGAAGAAAGTGCTATCTTGGTTAGAAAGCTCAGACTTGTACATAACGTTTCCAACAGTCAGAGGAGTCCTCACAAGCAACAAAAAGATGTCAAAAAATTATTAAAATCAATATTGTGTAATTATAACCAGCTTATAGGCTTTTTCACTCAATTTCCCAGATTTAAAAAGTTTGTAACATCTTAAAAAAAAACAAAACAAAACAAAACAAAAACAAAACCCACCACCAAACAAACCCAATTGCCACTCGGGCAGATTCTCGCTTGGCAACAAGTTGTAGCAGTTGTCTTTTCACTAAGAAAACTGAAATAGTGGCCAAGCCCAGCATCTCGGGCAGCACTACAGCATGTCAGCAAGCCCAGGAATACTCAGTCCCGAAACACGCTAGTATAAACATGATATAAACCAAAGCCTGCTCCTGGATCATGACACAATCGCAATGAAGTTGGCTGGCGCTTGCCTTTAAAGTATTATCAGTTGATCTTCTCTAGCCTCAAATACTAGTAATATTAATTATGGAAAAAAATATATATTAAAAAAATCAAGAAACGCTGACAACCAACAAGAAGCAGTCTATGTGCAACATACTACAAAACAATATGAGGGATCTCCGCCCTATAATCACTACCATATTTTAATTACCTTTTCTGTGACCACATAGGCAAATAGTATCTTAAAACTGCAATACTCAAATCTGCTCAACAGATTCTTGCACCCTACCCCGCGCCGCGTAACTTTCAGGTCCCATCCTCCAGTCGGGAACTCCAGGCCTGGCAGAGCACCTGCAAGGCGAGACCGGGAGGGAGCCTGACGGGGTGCCAGGCAGGAGGCCAGCAGAGAGAGACGTGGAACAGTGCAGCCAGCTGAAAGGGCGCTCTGCACCTGCATCCCCAGGAGAAGCGAACGGGATCAGAAACCAGCAACAGGGATAAAGAAGGATCTGAAGACTGGAAGAGGCCGTAAAGCTTAAAAGCAGTACGTATGTGGCTTTTTACTGCTATTTTTCTTTACATCCAGTGTTCAGTTCCAAGCACAAGAGTACACCCCCAAGCTTTGTACAAAATCAACATTCATGTTTCAGTATCTCATCTGGAAAATTCAGGAACCACCTATCAATTTGGCAGCCATCGTGTTTTCCCATGAAAAGAGATCAAAATTCAGGTGCTAGACAGGAACGACAGAACGAACGCAAGGAACTCCATCTCCACCGTGAATTCGGCAGCATCAGCGGCAAACAAACGCGTTTCTGCAAGCGAATCTTCGGTACTTTCATAGTGCCTAGCACTTACTACACAGACGTTGTCAGCTGCAGAGGGCCTTGATTTCAGTATTGCCACGTATCAGGTACCAGAAGAATATTTAAAATCCATACCAGTCAGTAGCGGCTACCGTTTATCAGAAAAATGCCTGTCTTGTTTTTCACTCCACAGCGTTCTGTTTGTAAAACATCCTCTTATAGAAATCTTCCATTACTAAGTTAACTACTACAGCATAGTGGAATTACCGTCTGTAACACCAAGTATAGCAGATTGTCTTTGAAAAAACGCTCAGATCTGAAAGTGTAAAATGATTATAAATGCTAGAAAAATATGACAGATTCATGTTTCTGGAAAAAAACAACTTGCTGCACGGAGAATTTTTTTTCCCCCCATGAAAACACACAAGGCTACAGTAAGATAGTAAAAAATATCAGACTTGTCAACCTGGAAAAAGCATAATCTTAAACAGCGTGAACCATGGTCCTTATTTCTATTTCAGGTATAACCACCAGGAACAACTTTTTTCAGTATTTGGAAAGGCAAAAGTTACCTCCCCAATCGCTTTAATAAAAATTATTACAACCTATTAAAATCAAGGAGATTTAAGCTTTCACAAACAATTTAGGGATTTAATTTTTCCCGTCACATAATTTGGAAGATAAAAAACTTCAAGCATTGCTTCCATCACCAGCATCTTCCCTCAGCTGCCTGTTGTTTCAGGGACTATGAACATGAGTAGCATCATGTATGTCTCATTACTCTCAACAGTATGAAGAGACTAAATCTAATATTTTGACTAAAATAATTTCCACAAGATGTGCGTAACAAAATACCCAGCTTGTTTTGGAAGCAAGTCTCTTCACAACAGACTTGCCTTTTACAGTCGGAATTTTTCTGTCTGTTTGGTAAGATGCAAGTATAAGGGAAGTCTAACATCTAGAGTTACGCAAGCACACCCCACCCCCCCCCATAGATCACTAGTAAATAATCAGACTGCATACGAGATATTTGTAAAAGTAATAAAACCCTTTGATGCCCCATATTTATACCGGCAAATACCTCTCCTGATATAAAAGGCACTTTGAAAACCCAATATGGTTTGGTTCATTAAGTTTGCAAAGTACAAACAATTGTACAAACATACAATTATATTGAAGCATGTCAGCCATTGTGACATTATCTACAAAACAAGTTTCCAATTGTTGGTAACACTGGTTTTATGGGAATGAGCAGTGGTTTCAGCAGCTTTACTGAAGACATGACAGGGTTTCCAGTACCACAACCTTAGTAAGGAAAAAACCCTCAAAAACTTAGAAGTTTAGGGGCCACAAAAAGACAAGACCCAAAGTCCGTAACGTTCATTCAATGTTTACTCCTTAGAAGTGAACTCCATCCATAGCCCAAGGGCAGAAATCCATTCAGCCAATTCCAGAACAGTGGTGGAGGCAGGCTCTGTCTTGAGAAGTATGTTGTTACACCGTTACAGTACAGAAAACTTTGGTCCAACAGCACAATTTCAGAAATTCACTACATGGCTGCGACGTCAATCTGTATGTAAAGCTGTCTTACTCCTGCCTATGGAAAAGAGGAGGAGAGTTAAAAAAACCTGTAAGTCAAAGCAATTTAACTGTCCTGAACACCAGTCCACATCAGTAAGTTACCTAGCAAAAAACCTCCGTATCTTATTTTTCTGTAATTCATCTTCCACATTTAGCACATCATTCACTGAGATACTGGCAATTTGGAAACCTACAAACTTTGAGAGCCACTGTATGAACACATAGTTCTTCAGTCAAGTGCACACATGTAATTATATATTAACATTGGCTTTGCTACATTACCTTTTCTGATTCATCCTAAATAACTGTCACACGTGAAGCTGCACAAAAGCAATTCTTACCTTCTTGTGTACAAGTTTAACTTCCTGAAAAGTAAGCTGCTTGAAGAGCTGTCGGTTTGAAATGGAGCTAAGCACAAGAGCATAACACGGGATTTGTTGTTTGAACCAGTTCTACACTAAGATTTTAGCAAGAAACAACAATGGCTACAGTGAGTTTACGTGACATCATGACTCACTAAAATAACTTTTGGTAAAAGTACGCGAATTATACGAAAGCGTTTTTCTCCTCAGAAATCCTATTAAACTAGGCTTAGATGGACTTGCTTAGTTTTATCATTATTCAGTATTAAACAGCATTAAAAAAATCAATTAGTCATTCTTTTTAACCTCAGTGGCAGGCCAGCAACAATGTTGTGATAGTCACTGGTTATGCAACGTGATCTTGAAGCATTAAGCTGAACACTGCTAAAGATCAGATTGTCTTCAACGATCATCAACTTGCTTTTAGCTCATTTGACTGGCAAAACCAACTATCAATTATATTAAGATTAATGGGGACCAATATTACTGAGGAGAAAAATCTCTACTTGCTCCAACTGTTCCTCCACTATTACCACAGGTCAGGGAAGAAAAATGATAGACCTTGCTCTCCCAGTTCCCTTCCTAGACACGTGGCTCTTGATACCTGCACAGCTACAAAACAGCTGAAGAGCTAACGACTCACTTGGAAAATGCAATCCTTTGGAGCCTTGAGATGTAGAATGTTCTGCATAGTCCTTCCCAAAAAATATCCCTTAGTTTCAAACTACAGAGTCTGCAGAATAAGCCATGCAGGCTGATTTCTACCTACTCAATAATCTAGAGCTGTATGTGATGGAACATCTCAAGAAGGACTAAACTTTATGAATAAAGTTTGATTTTAGAATACTTGTAACAACAAATCCTCCTTCCCTAAGTCTCTAACATAAAAACAAGTACGTGTGTCTATTTTTATTGGGTTCTCCATGACTGACTACTTTAAAATTCCTTAAAATTTAGGGAGTTCAAAGGAATTCATGCACTCAGGCAGCACATTGTAGGGCTGGCTTCAGTGGTGTTGCTCCTGAGACTCCAGAAACTGAGTATGCAAGATGCATAAAAAAAACAAACAAAAAATCCAGTCTGGCATTTTTAATAAATGTTATAAAACGGTTAATAAAAGGGGCGCTTATCAGATGTATAAACGATTCACTAAGCCATCACATACGCAAGTGCCAATGCAGGAGACCAACAGAACATTTAGAACAAGGGGAAGAACGTGCACGTGAGCACACAAGGACTTCCCCCACGGTGGAAAGCCTTGAAAAGAACATTTATGCAAGCACTAATTAAACTGCTGACAGAAGCACTTTATTTACAGTATCGGATATAGCTGATCAGAAGCCCCCTTTCTTCACTGTCCAACTGACTTAGAGAAGTCAGTAATTTACATACCTCCAAAATATTACCCTTTTGCTGACAGTATTTTGTTACCTAAAACACTGGTTATAAACAGGAATATTTGTCTCCTTATCAGCTACAGAACTCTCCGTTACTCAAAAGCAGAGAAAGGACATTATGGAAAAATGTAACAGTTTTTTCAAATACAGTCCTCCAACGTCAAGAATAAAACCAGGATGTCTGGCTCCGGACGGTATAAGAGAGAGAGTAAGTTTCCAGCTTTATTCTTCACTAAGTTCTCTTGCTGGAGAAGAATTTTCTATTTTATCTTAATAGCCTCGAGGTTCTACTTGTAAACCATTCATATCCAGTAGCTATACTGGAATAGGCAGCCAAACTGAATTTCATGTTTAATGGTTGAAAGCGTAAGGAAGCAACAGTAAAATCTTTCTGAAATTTGTAAGATTTTAATCTTAAGGCAAGAACTATCAAATTTAATAAAGTTTCTGTTGTTCACAAGAATTCCAGCATTTCATATCCGCTACAAGCGCTATCACTATCTATATTAAAAAAAACCATAACCTTTAGGGAAATAAACGGGAACACACTGTTCATATACAACACCACAACTGATGGTTACATTTTAACTAGTGATCGCCACAGCACGGATGCTACTAAAAGCCAACAAAATACGCAAAGACCATGGATTCTTAGAGGGACAGAAATGAATGACAAATACAGCATCAGCACAGTGAAAAACTTAAGTAGGTCCGCTCTGTGGTCGGAAGCCCTAGCTTGAGGGAAGCCTCATCTTGGTTCCTTATAGGTCAATACAGGGTTTCATCTCAGTTTGATACACCTCAGACAGCTACAGCTGTTACCTCCATTAAGCGGCATCAAAAACTAATGCCGAGAGATACAGCAGTTCCATCTACACTACTGAGTATTTTGAAATTGTTCTCTACAGCTGGAGCAGAGAAGCTTTTCAAAACACATTGATACCAAAACCAGAAACATTTACATTTTTCTTGATAAGAATTACAATGTCACATCGCGTGACAGGCAATTTACACTTGGAGATGTGATTTCCACTGATGAGACGTACCTGAGTAAAAATATTGTGAGTCTGGCTTAGAATCCACCTTCCATCAGCATCGGGAGCTACTAATAACTTCAAAGTCCCTATGTAAACATCAGTACAGAGGGTCCAGAAATGTGGATCATGTAAACTGTAAACTCCTTGCAACTGCTGCACCTAAGAAAACAAGCAAGTTTTTACAAATATATTTCAGAAAATGTTTATCTGTACTATGGTTTTTTTTTTTTTTACAAAAAATATTAAAAAAGCCGATACATTCTTTTACTTCTAGTTCACTGTGCAAGTTGATATATTTCACTTAAATTCCTTACTACTATCTCAGTAATTGTAAGGAAGGTGAAAACATACAGATAGTATGTACGTGTAATGATTTTGTATCTTGCTGCATTTACATTCTACATATATTCTGCTGAAACCATTTCTGAAAACAGTGGTGTCCAAGAGAGTAACGTCAATTATAAAGTTTGAGAGGGCATTCAATTAAAACAGCAATTTTTGCAAATGCAGGAATTTTCCCATAAAACAATTTGTGAGAGATTCTAACTATTAACAGAAATATATTAGTATTTCAGTAATTATTTTGCGAGGGCTTAGTTTTGTCCTGTCAAAACCCTTCTTTTTCCTCTGTCCAATTTTAGCAAGCCCTCCACGTGACGGTAACAATCCTGTAACTTCCTGAGGAAAGATGGCACTCCTACAAGTGCTTTGTATTAACTTTGCAAAGGCGCTTCAAATGTACCGGTCGTGACAGTAATAGATAAGTTAAACAGGAGTACCAGGAGAGGTCAAATCCAGAGTAATCTATGTACTCTTATAAATACACAGCCAAAGTTACTCCACCTCACTTTACTAAGAGCTAGATTTTGAGGGGGACTGTCCTAGTTTCGGCAGGGATAGAGTTAATTTCCTTCCTAGTAGCTGGCACAGTGCTGTGTTTTGGATTTAGGGTGAGAACAATGTTGATAACACACCGATGGTTTAGTTGTTGCTAGGTAGTGTTTACACTAGTCAAGGACTTTTCAGCTTCCCATGCTCTACCGACTGAGCAGGCTGGAGGTGCACAAGAAGCTGGGAGGGGGCACAGCCAGGACAGCTGACCCAAACTGGCCAAAGGGACATTCCATACCATGGGACGTCATGCTCAGTATATAAAGCT